CACGGCCAGGCAGCCGGGGCAAACAAGCTGACCCGGGCGGCGCGGCTGCCCCGCTGGTAGCCTAGGTTGTCGCTCAATAGTGTGCGGTTGCAAGTGGCTGGACTCGGGTTGGGGTTTGGGTTCAGGGTTTAGGGTTTTTGCTCGGGTTACTCAATGGTGGCCACTTTTCGGGTTTGGGTTTGGATTTAGGGCTTAGGGTTTACGGTTTAGGGTTTAGGGTTACTTAGGGATATGTGGCAAATAATAACAGGGACTGGGTCTGTGTACATGGATTTTTTTTATTTTTTCTTTGGGCCGTCAATTCGAATTGCTGTGTTTGCAGAAAGTGGAGAAAAAGCTGCAGCCACTTGTGGACGTTCGGGAACTGGCCTGTTCCGACAGTGTGGAATCATTTAGGTTGACGTACACAAGCATGCTTCATTACCATCCAGACTGTGTGGTGAGTATCCTCCTTTTTTTTCCCCTTTTTGTTTTTGGTCCCTGACCTCCAGTTTGCATATCCTTTTTTTTTTTTTTTTTTTTTTTTTTGGAGAAGCATGGGTACAAATAAGGCCGTATCGTACACATCTGGGGAAACTGAAACTGGCTGACTCTCCTCTACTCTGAGTCCCTCTGTGTATGAAAGTCTAAGCATGAGTGCCATCCTCTGTGCAGGGCATGCTAATCTTTTTTTTTTTTTTTTTTTTTTTTTCCGAAAGGCCCTTGTGCAAGGCCTCTATCCCAGTGGTGGTAAGAGAACCACCGGAATTGAGGCTTTGCCTAGTGGGCCGCACCATCTATTGGTGGGGAGCCTCACCTGCTGGAAACGGGGGGTCCAGCGTCCCATGAACACATCTTTAGTACATCTTTTTTTTTTTTTTTCCCTGACGCTACAATTAGGAGTAGTGGTAGGTAGGTAGTGTGAGGTGAAATTGAGAGAAGAACATAGCTTTTAAAAAAAAAGGAAAAAAAAAAAAGTTTGCATATCCTGATTCCTGACTTGCTGTTTGGTGGTAGACTCAGGGGAAACTCACACTAGGACTTTTTTGAATCAGCGGTCAGATTCATTCAGGTTTGGCCGTAATTGCAGTCAGATACATTTAGGAAAGTGCTAGTGTCAGTACATGCCCTCACACGCTTTTTACTTCAGTACAGTGACCTGCTATCATGGCCCGACATACAGTTGCATCCCCGACCAGGCTTGCTATCTCGTCTCTACACTTTTGTTGGGGGGGGGGGGGAGAGAGAGAGAGAGAGATATTTCTGAATAGATGCTTGAATTGGGATTAGCAAATCGGGGAGAAACATGGGATGCAAAATGCTATGTATGCAAGCGGTAGAGAGAGGGCAGGGATGAAAGTATGCAAGGGGTTTAGGGGAGGGGGGGGGGAGGGGAGGGTTCATATGGGCAAGAAGAAGAGGAAGAAGAGCATCTAGGGAGAGTTCACGAGATACCATGTGAAGGAGGGGGAAGAGGAACATTGAGGGGGTCTGCAAGATGCTATCTTTTATGATGAAGAGGGGAGGCAAAGTGTTGAAGCCTGATGGTACCCCCCCTCACAATGGTGAGATAGAAGTTTTAGAGGCAATGTGATACCCTATTATCCCATTTATGCAAGGGGAGGAGAAGGGGAGTGTGCTTGCAGACAAGGGTTGGAAGATGCCGCGGCCCGGGCAGCACCTATCTGGAGGTACGTGCTATAGCAGTGGTGCAGAAGGGGGCACAAGGTTCGATACGTTGTGTGCAAAGAACGGGGGCCTCTTGAGAGCGTGTTGAGGGGTTCCCAAGACCCTATCCGTGCACGCAACATTGGACAGCAAGTGTCCCAAGTGGTCCCCACCACATACTTGCTACTCAAGAAGATGGAGGAAGCTGTATGAGTATCTGGAGGAAGGTGCTCACATGGCTTCCTCCCTGGATTGTCGATACCTTCTTCCCCTGAATACAAAGGACGGTCCGACGGTCATTATAGCTGTACTTGCGGTATCTTTCCGTCTAAATACAGCTATAATGACCGTATGTTATATTCGAGGGAAGAAGGTAGCATAGTGCACAACACAGCTCAGTATCATTGACCTGGGAGGCTGGGGGTGGGACATCATTTCTGAGCTGTGTTATGCACTATGCTACCTTCTTCCCCCGAATACAAAGGACGGTCCGACGGTCATTATAGCTGTACTTGCGGTATCTTTCCGTCTAAATACAGCTATAATGACCGTAAGTTGTATTGGGGAGAAGAAGGTAGTATGC